GGGAGGGAGGAAGTGGGACTAGGGGGGAAGTAGGGGTGGGGCTACGGGGAAGGAGGGGGTGGGGCTGGGGGAGTGAGGAGGGGGTGGGGCTGGGGGAGGGAGGGAGGGGGTGGGCACACCAGGAAGCCTGGTGCTCACCGGTTCAAGACTCCAGCAAGGTAACCCCTCAGTAACCCTCGATGTTATTTGAGCCCTCTGTCTCCAGTTCCAGCAGTAACCATGAGCATTCCTGACCACAGGCAGGTGTGAACAGAGGTTTCATCCCATCTGTCCAGGCCTCATCCCAGCCTCTGCTTTTGGCCCCTAAGGTGCTAAAATGCCACCCTGATGCTGCACTCCCCTAGCCCCATGGCCCAGAGGCACCACGAGACCCACACAGATGTGTTCTGCTCACCTTCTCATCACAGAAGCACACTCGAGATCCCCTCTTGGCCTCCATGAGAGTGTTGTGCGAACTGGAGCTTGGAACCCCCTATTTTCTCCTTGGATCCCAGACACAAACAGGAAAAAAGCCTGCATGCCTAGGACGTTTGTGAGCTCCAGGGCCCACAACATTTCTTAGGCCCGAGAATGCAAGTCTGTCATTATGGTATTTGCAGAACCAGAGACTGTAGTTAAGGCTTCAAGATGATGCTTATTATAACCCTTTCTTGACTCTCATGCCAAAAACACCACATGAAGAGTCTTTCTCAAGGAAATTTGCCAGAGAAGGCAGAATGCATCAGATCACAGAGAAATTGTTTTGGGTTAGTTTCAAGCTGTAGAGTCTGTGGGAGGAAAAGGCTTCCCCGAAGGCTGCCCTGGGGAAGGGGAACCCACACAGGGCTGTGCTTTGCGTGACTCAAGGGGATGCCATCCCCAGGAATTATGATGGGAATGGCACCCCCTAGGAGTGAAGACCTGGCAGTCCTGATGCCACCCATAGGAAGTGGGCAACTACAGAAGACATCGAATCCTGAATTAAGGATTAGTGATGGGGGAGAGAGGCGCTTCCGAGGACAGCTGAGGATTCTGAGCTCTCCTTGCGGAGCACAAAGAGGGAGACAGGCAGTCACCAGAGCCCATCACATCAAACTCCCAAAGGAATCACGTCGGGGTGGGAGGAACAGAAGCACTTTCACACCAGTGAATTTCCAATTTTCTAAAACCGTTTCGAACCCATGTTCATTACTCAGTGATCAAAAGTCATCCTGCTGTTTTGAATGTCTCCTTTTTAAAAAACCCATAATGCAATTGGAGACATTGCATTCACATCATTAATGTAACTATTAATGATATTAACTACGAAATTTAAAAAACCTAAGCTATGGTAGCATTTCCTCTTTTATCTGCTATTCCTTCGCCCATGCGGAGGAAAGAAAGTGACCTGCACGCAGTCCTGCTCTAGGACTGCTCAGGAAGCAGTCTAGGGATGGATGGGGAGAACCAACAACGGTCAGGGAGATGCTCTGTCAGCAAACATTTATTGGACACCTGCTATGTGTCGGGTGTATAAAGATGGTTTCTGCTTCTGTGTCATTTTAGAATCATCCACGAAGCAGACACCAAAACAATTTGAGGTGTAAGAAATGTACGGGGGAAATGCCTGTGAAAGATTAAGGAGAGAGAAGCAGGAGCAGGTGAGGAGAGTCTTCAGACTTGATGCAGGTCTAACAACACCTGTGAAAAAGCGCAGGAAGGAGGAGGGTCAGACCCAGGGCAGCTCTGAGCAGGTCTCAGCCAGGCCAGTGGAGAGCTTCCCAAACCAAGGCTGCTGGAGGGAGGAGCTCCCCCTGGGGCAGGAACAGACCAGCTCCAGGACCCCCGGTGTTCTTGCTGGCTGAGGACAGACTGGGAGAAGTGGGAACGCCATGATGGATACAAAAGGCAGCAGCTGGAGGCTGTCAAGTTCATTGCCCATAGCAGGTGCTTTTGTAGATCTGAGTGGAGCACTTCCACGGCCGACACAGCTTCCAGGAGCTCTCCGTTTAGACAGATACACGTACACGTCACGGCTCTAGTCCAAGCCTGCAGGCGAGCCCTTTGGGGTCAGGTGTCTGTTCCATGTTCAGTCAGCCACAGCCTGGGTTGGAGGTAAAACCCACGGTATACAGCATGGCTGCCTGGAGAGAGAGGGCTGTGATACATGAATAGGCACCGCCGGCAGGTCCAGGAAAGAAGGGAGATGGTTGATATAATGCAGTTATGAACAAGGTGCAGCGGCAGGAAGGAGGGAATTAACAAACTGCTTAAGAAGGAGAGGCCAGAGAAGGTTTCAGGACAAAGGGATGTGGCCGTTGGGTTTTAGAACGTGACCGAAATTGATCACATCCACCGGAGGAGATGCAGCGGGATCTGTCTCATTGAAACCTGAATTCACATCCTGGCTCTGCCACTTATCAGCTGTGAGACCTCAGGTAAGTCTCTTAACCTCTCCTAAGCCTTAGTTTCTTCATTTGTAAAGTGGAGATCACGAGAGCACCTTTTTACAGAATTATTATGCTGATGCACCTGGTTTCATTAGCAGAGTGTCTGACCTACAGTACGTGACCCATAAACAGTAACAGTATTCTTGTCGTTATTATTTCTCACATCCCAGGCAGTGGGGACGGCCTGTCCTGAGGCGGGAGAGGATGAAGGGCAAGCCAGTCCAGGGAGCCAGTGGTTCTCTGTGACCGGATCACATGGTAAAAGGGAAGCAGTGGTAGAAAACAAGGTTGGGGGAATGAGCCCGTCAATGAAAAGCCTCATGGGCTGTGGAAGCGATTTCAGGTTTCACGGTAGGTGATAAGACGCTGTTAGAGGACATCTCATGGGTAAGGAGAGGCTCAGATTTGCGTTCTTCTGTTTTCTCTCTGACAGCAGGGCGTTCAGTGGATTAGAAGGAGAAGAGACTGGAGGGGGGATATGGGTTACGAGGCTTTTATATTAATCCAAGCAAAGGATCAAAGGACGTAAGAGAGAGAGAGAGAGAAGCAGCAGGTTTAAAAGATATTTAGGAGGAATAACTGATAAGCAATGGAAACCATTTGGACCTACTGGGGAGGGAGGCATCTTGGGTGAGGAGTCTGCCTGGTTGAATGCCTGGGCGGTTGGAGGCACAGTGCACGTGATAGCAACTCGAAGGCAGGTGCAAGTGATCAATAGAATTGAACTGAAGGTATTGAATTTGAAAGGCCTGTTGGACTTCCAGTGGGGCTATTGGGCAGACAGTTGGATGAAGGGAGCTGGGGCTCAGACGAGAGATCTGGGGGCACTTGGAGACTATGGCCACAGTCCAAGTGAAGACCTGAATAAGAATGACAGTGGGAGGAGTGAAAAGAAGAGGGTCTGGCAAGAACAACCACTGAGCCTGTCGTTTGCCTGGGGATCTCATTGAAAACACATGGTGGAATTATGCTCAACGCCCCTCCTACCTCCTGAAGCCCCTTGAATCCACAAAGAGGCTGAAGGAATAAGCAAC